CCCAGCCCAGCCTTGGTAACCCGCCCCGCGCGTCCCGAGGTTGAGGCGAGAGAGCCACACAATTTCTGGGTGCTAATATCCTTTCCTTGGTATGTATGTCTCTTTGAAGTGGCCTGTTTGTCGCACAGGGGTCATGTGGCAGTGAAGGACCCCAGGTTTGTCTTAAAAAGGGGGACATCTTGAAGCCAGTAACCCAAGTTAGAGGTTTAGGTGACGATGGCTAAGTGACCTGAAGAAAAATGTTATTCAAGTTACAGATCTGTGCGGCAAGGCTGTGTCACCCCTCCCTTGCCCGCCTGCACTGCGCCCTCCTCTAGCGGTTCTGGCCTGGTGGGCTGCGTGGAGGGTGCTGCAGGCGTGCGTTAAAGTTAACGCACGCCTGCCGCTCAGGGCTTCCAGTCGCCTGTAGTCAAAGGAACGGTCGCCCACTGGACGGCGGGAATAAAGCAAGGGATGACCACCGTCCTGCTGTCCTGGTTCCCTTCGAGCTCTCTCCAGAGTCTTTGGATCCTCTGGGGAAAAGGAGAAACTTTCCCAAGGAAGGGTACGAGGAAAACACTATAGGGGTCTTTCCCTATATAAGGAGAGTTACCAAGTTTGGAAAGCTCTGTTCCACGAAGGAAAAAAAAACACAAAAAACAAAAACAAAAGCCTCTTGAAAAGCATATTCCTAGGAGAAAGACTAGCAGCCTGGAGCCGGCCTTGGGCGTTGCGTTCCCAGGAGGCTCCGGGAGGTGTCGCCGCGCCAACGCCCGCGCGCCCGGCGACTCCAGGAGGCTCCCGAGCTAGTGCCGAAGCCTCTGGGGCTTTTGCCTCTTCAAACACTTTGAAATGCAATTCCACCCTAAAGGACTGGTAGTAACGTTTTGAGGAAACCTAATCTCTATTAACTAACCAGCAGCGCCGCAGAACAAGCAGCTGTTGCAATCTTCCAGGTGGAGACGGCCGGGATGGCCGCCCCCTCTCCCTCTCCCTTACCCCGCGCTCCGGTAGCCTCTCGGAGGAGGCCGGGCTAGGGACGGCTGTCCACATGTCTGCAGCCTGAGCTGCTGGGGTCACCTCCTTACCCTGCTAAACCGAAACCCAGCAACGCAAGCTCCCGGGCCTTCCCCTCCCGGCTGGCAGCGGGCCCAGCCGCGTGCGATTAGGGCGCCCAGGGCAAAGCCGACCTTCCCAACTCCCTGGCAGAGGCTAGGCGAGCCGCGAGGCTGTGGCGAAGCCTTGTTTGACAGAACGGAGGAAGCCCACGGGGCCGGCCTGACCTGGAAAACCCCAACAGCTTGGCCCTCCCTGTTCCTACTCTTCCAGCTCAATCCTTTATATTTGGCTCTCAGTCGCGCGTCTGCACCCGAGGTTCGGAGAGGGACTGGGGTCACCCACTATCCTGAGGTCCAAGTATGGGAGGATTGCGGGGCCAGTTACAGGTGTCCTCAGTTTCCAATAAGCCTCTTTTGAGCTGTCCTCACCAATCGATTACCCGATATTTTCAGAAACTACTACCTTGAAATGAGAATGCGCAAAACCAGGAGGCAGAGACCTGCCCTCCTAGGATACTCCAAGCCGCTAACCCTCTCACTCTGGTTGCCACTCGCACGCCTCCTCCGCTCACGGCCCCCACCCCTCTGGGCTGCGGGTGGCCCGGGGCCCAGGGAGGATGCGCCTACCCGGTCCTCCGGTGTCTCAGGCCGAGGTTGTCTTTGAGGGGCGGGCAGTCCGGAATGCCCACCTCGGGGCGGGCGTGGGGACTGTCCAGGACGCCGCCATAGGGGCGCCCGCCCCGCTCCCGCTCCGGAGCGCTGCGGTCCTCAAAAAGCACGGCGCCGTTGAGCTTATCGAAGACGATGGTGTTCATGGTGCGGGCGGGCAGGGGCGCCCCGCGCGGCCACAGCGCCTAGGAGCCGGGCCACCGGGAGCTCCTCAGGGCTCGGGTTCTAGGAGATGAAGGTGCAGCAGGTTACTCGCTGAGAGCGCTCACACCCTGAGCGACCCGAGCCCCAAATGGAGCCAAGGCGAGCGGCTGCGGAGTTCGGGGCAGGAGCTACACCGCCGCATCCGAACTAGGGAATCCGCACCTCTCGGTACCTGGCTAACCCGTCCCCTTCGCCCCCGCACACTCCGGGGACAAGTCCCTGCCCTCGTCCTTGACCGGGCGATGGAGCTCTCAACGCGCTTCAACCAGGAGTGTGTACCCGCGGCGGCAAAGGAAAGTTAAGTCCTGAACGAGCCTTTCTGCCTCGGTTTTAATCTGGAAGAAGCACACTCCTGAGAGCGGAGGGCATCTGCGCGGGGCCTCGCGGGGCCTTCCGTCACAGCGGAAGACTAACGCCTCTCGGAGGTTCCACTCGGGTCGTAAAGAGGGGTTGGGAGGGAGGGAAATTGGGTGGAACATGAACGACTGCGTGCGCAAGCCCCAGTTAATGAGTCTCAGGCCGTACCGGGATTTCGGGAATGTTCATGTTCTCTAGGTCTGGGATGGTTTGGCTGAACCTCCTGCGTCCGTCTCTGGGGTGGGGGTGAGGGCTGGGAAAGTTAGCAGACTCAGAGCTAGAAAGTTAAGTGGTGTCAGGGACAAATGCACCACATACTCCCCCTCCCCCCAGACCTTCCTCCGGCTCCAGGATGTGCAGGGTGGGGACAGTTCAGAGCGCAGGAGCCCGTGGCCCGGGGAGTCCCAGCCCCCGAGGGCCCACTGTCAGTGTGGTCCTCTCCCACAGTGCGGTGCGACCCTGGAGCTCCGAGCCCTTCCACAGCCGCCCCTTTCCGAGGTTTCAAGGAACCGTTTCAGAGGCTGCAAGGTGTTTGGAGAGGAAGGAGGAATCGCGGCCCTTGCACCGTTGGACAAAACCTCCAGCTCACCTCCCGGGTCCCTGCGGCCGGAAGCCTCTGCCAGCCGCCAGCCGTCTCAGGGGCAAGTCCGCG